AAAAGGAAAAAAAAAAAAAAAAAGAGAGAGAGAAAATTAATCAACATATAAACTATAATAATTTTTGTACATTACAAAATTATAATTAAATAACAGAAAAATATAAAAAATAAGAAATTAATTTTTATATTATATTTAATAATCTATTTATAAACCATAAAAATAATTATAATTACCACACAATTATTATTAATTAATTTGTACTATTTTATTCAAATAATCTAAAAATCATTTTAAAAATCATTATATATTTTTATATTGAAAGTTCAAATCTAATATAAATTAAAATATTTTATAATTGAATCAATAGGTTAAAAATTAAGGAAAAAAAAAAGTAAATTTGTGGTATTTTAAAAAAAAATTATTTTAAATTTACAAAACTGTTCGAAAAAATCTATGTTTATTTTGCATTTATATTAAAAAAAAAAAGACATGTGATAAATAATTAAATAATATATATAAGCATATAATATAAAGGAAGCACCTGAATATATATATATATAATGTGAAATATGTTTTTTTTTTCTTCTAATTATTCTTTAAAAAACTAATAACAAAACTTAAATTAATAAAAATATTTCCAAAATTTATATTTGTCTAAAAATAATATATTCTAGAATTTCAATTTTTTTAAAAAAAATACTTTCAAATTTTCATTAATACTATTTTTTAAAAATAAATTTCAAAAATATTCTTAAAATTTTTTAAAATTAAAAAATATTAAAGATATTTTTGAAGTTTTTTAATATTATTAATAAAAAAATTAAAGTTTAGGAGTATTATTTTTCAAGATTCAAAAATATTTTAAAAACAGAATTAATGAATTAACGAGAATAATATTTTTTTAAAGTTTAAAAATAGTATTAAAATTAAAAAAAATATATATTTTTTCTGAGATAAAATAGTTTCGAATATTCTTATTTATGGAAAGATTTAATTACAAAAGTTAGTGGCATTAATGTTCATGCATGCATGTAACAGAAATCAAACACGTGCATGAATGAAAAAGGAAAACAACTAAAACCTGTGATATGAATCCAAAAATATAATGAAAGTCAAATTCTATGACGTCATAAATTGCATTGCCAAAAATTATTTCCAAATAACATTAAATATAAACATAAACAATTATCTTTTCTATCATTTTAATGGTTCTTGGTTCAGTTTCCTACCTAAGATTAACTACATGCTGTGTAAATTTTTGAAATCTAAATAATTTTGGCGATTAGAATAATAAGAAAAAAAAAACGAGAAAAGAAGATAGGTGATAAAGATGTTATGATACTCGGAACTTTGTAATAGTTCGAGAATTGAGAGATCACATGAACAAAAGCAAGGAAATGCAAGGAAAGCTCGTGTCTCGGTCATTCTAGACATGCCCATAATCAACAATTCGAGCGAGTAAGCTCGTGTGGGATCACGACCGAGACCCATGAAAGAATATTGAAAAAACACGAGAAACAAAGCATGTTCTTGAATATAGTAGAGAAGAGGGAGATGAAGTATGCTCGTACGGATCACGGTCGAGACCCATCAAAGAATATTCAAAAAAAAATAAGTTAAAATAAACTCAAATATTAAAAGTATAGAAACTGAATCTCGTTGAAAGCTGTTTAGAATGATTTTTTACCAAGATCAGCCTATAATCAACGATTTACGCAAGTAAGCTCGTGTAGAATCACGATCCAAACCCGATGAGGAATATTCAAAATAACACGAAAAGCAAAGAAGAGAGAGACTTGAAAAGAGAGATCTTTTAGGGAATAGAAAGGGATGAAGAACTCACTGTCACCGTCTCATTTAAATAACAATTTTTTTTTTTTTTTTTTTTGATAAAATTCTAAAATTTTTTGAATTACTTAACAAATATATTAAAAAAAACCCATTGTTTTTCTCTCCTAATTCACCTTAATTCAACATTTTGTGCTAAAAACATTTAATTTATTGAAAAATATCTATATATATATATATATATGGCAACATAGTAAATTTGATACTGTGTTTCATATATTTTGTTGTAACCTATAGTATTAAATCTTATCCTTATTTCCAAAATTTAAATGATGCATTTTAATATATTTATCTCCTGGCATCTTTGTAAATAAAGTAACGTATAATTATCGATGTTGTATTAATTTAGAGTTCTTTCCGTTCCTTTTATGGATTGTGTTCGAAGTTTTGGTCTTGCCTCAACCCTAATTGGGACTCCTCGACACCGTATGTATCATCAATTTCGGATCTTCTATATAGCTTGCTTTGTCGCATGCAATCTCATGCAGCTTCTTTCGAACGCTCCTTCCCAAGGTCAACTTTTTATTTGGTTTTTTAGCATATTCTCGACCAATCGAGCTTTTCTTTTGTTGGGATTGTGTAAGTAGCACCCCCCGACTTTGTCGGTGGGCTCTATTTGTCCAGTATTTCCAAAAAATTTAGTTACAGTGCAGTCCATTTTGGTTACCCGCCTCTCTAGCTCTCTTCTAGTTTTTCCTCGATCACCCCTCTTAGAGATGAGACCGAGACTGAGGTGGTGTTCAATCACAAGTTCTTAGCAGATAACGATCCTAACTTTGATATGACGACAACAACAAATTTATTTGGAGGAAGAACATAGACATCAAAACAAGAAAAATGCATGCGAATGTGATACTTGTCACACACACTAAGAGGGAGAGAAAAATCCAATAAGAGCTTAGAGTAGGAGAGTGTTGTTACCTCTCTTCGAGTTAAACAATGCATGTATAGGAGGTTCATGTTTCCCTCGTGAATTAGGTTAATAGTAGAACCAAACCGAGCTGAACATAAATACCCTAGGTTGGGGGCAGCTCGAGAGGGTTAAGGTTAGACCAATGCACTATCTTCTTCTTCTTCTAATAACTCAGTTACTTCGAGGTCGATACTACTTTTACTCAATCAAATTATCCATAACATGTTTAAAATTAAAACCAACTTCAAGAACGGTAACGAAGTCGTTAGAATTTTAATTAATTTCTCAAATTGGTATAAGTATAAAATTTCCATTTGTGAAGACATCGAACTTAATATAGCATGCAACTTGACATATGCGCTACAACAAAAACAATGATTTACGTCGACTTAGTTATCAAACGATAGTTCACTCTTTATATCAATTAAAAAACCGTCATATTATTTTAATCATATTTATTTATCATAATTTATCCTACTTTCTATTTATATTAATCAAATTATTAGGAATTAACAAAAAGTTTAACATAATTGAAAATTTTAATATTTTATTTAGTTAAAGAAAAAAATAAAATAGAATTATACCTTTTTCTCATCTTCATCCTCATTTGATCCAAACGTCGTCGTTTTGATTTAAAGTTATATTTTAATTAAAAATTAATTTAGTTTTCATGGACGACGAACAAATTACATATATTAATTTTTTAAAATTTAAATTCTCGTTATAATTAGAGGGAGAATATATGTCTAAACTTAAACAACATGTCAAATCAATTTTTTTTTTTGTTCTTAATTTTTATTTATTTATTTTAGTTTTAAAATTAATAATATAATAATTAATTTTTTTTATATTGGAATTTAAAGTATTTTATTATAGGTTTATTTTGTCTTATTATTAATATTAAATACAATTTTTTTTTTCAGTTTTTGGTATAAGGTCAACTATATATACTTATCCTTCTTGCTATTCGTAAAATTAATAATTAAGACGTTTTCCTTCCTTATTTGTCATAATTTTTTTAATAATTATATATAATTTATAAAATAAAATAAAATATAAATAAATATTTCTCATAGAAGGCAGGTAGATCATACTTAAAATTAAATGATTTCTTGCCATATATATAAAAATAAAATTGTTTTAATATTATTTTAATGCTCGAAGTATCTTTTAAAATTATTTAATTATATGTCTAATTTTTAATTTTAATAATTTCATATCTAATAAGTTTTAGATATATTATTTTTTTTAAAAATGTAAATTTTAATTTATTTCTAATTAAACCCAGATTTTTTTTTATCTAATAAATCTAAAAAATTGTAAAAAAAATTTAAAATTTATTATTATTATTACTTTTAATTAAATGTCGTAAATTCCTATGAAAAAAGAAATATATAATGAAATAACAATAATGATGCGGGTGTAAAATCACAAAGATGAGCCGGGAAGCAGGGGATAGTTTCCGTTTCTGTGGTCCCTTCTTCACAGAAACAGCACAGTGGGTCAGTAAGTCGACCGAGCTGTCACTCACAGTGCCTTCGTGGCGATTTCTGATTGGTTTTTAGGAATGAAGGTGGAGTGAGTCTTTGATGTGGATGACGCCGGTCCGCAGTCGAAGCTCGAAAGCGAAGGGATCCGAATTTGGCCCTGCGGAACGTACGACAGAGAGAAAGAAGAGAGAGTTCTGAACCAACCAACCATCCATCCCTCCTCCCTCTTTCTTTCTCTCTCGTTTTCTTCCGGAGCTTCATCTTCACCTTCATCCTCTCAAGAATTCGTTTGCAACTCCTTCAAATCCAGGCAAGTCTCCATCTGCAATCTTTTCTTTTGATTCTTTCTGCTGCGATCGCATCCTCTTTTTTTCCTTAAGCTTCATTGATTGATTGATCGATCCAGGATTCAAGCTTCATTGATTTTGTGTTCGTTTTTATGCTTGTCGAATGAATCTAATCTTGATTACGGCTTGAATCATAGGTGTTGCCGCGTTTTGATGAGATCCTAATTGCTACGGTTTTTTATTTGATGTTTTATGGATTATCGTGCTGTTTGTTTTAATTGTTTTTTGATCCCGTGAGTCTTTTGCGTTGTCTATTTGCCGATTGGAAAGTTATTAACGATTTTTTTAAAAAAAAATCTTTAGTTCTACCTTTTGGTTCCTGCGTTTGCTGGCATATGGAGTTGGATATCTAGTATTTACTATCTTATCAGCTATATATTGTGATCCAGTTGATTCTTGGTTGGATGGTTATGTAAACGATGTATTAGGAACACATGTGGCTAGAAAATGCGAGGAAACTTTTCCAAGGAAGTTTGGGGTTTCATTGGATATTATTATAGCAATTGTTAGTGTAATATTCTCATTTACTTAGGAATACAGATTTTGCTTCATCTATGGTGTGAAGTCTTCGCTATTTCAATTTACTGTGTTTGAAATTGCAGCAGGAGATACGTTTTCATCATCTGCTGTGTTATGATTTGATTTTATTTCTTTCACTGTGTTATTATATGGCACAGTTTACTTTAATGGCATTAAGCCTATACTGTCTTTGCCATTTAAATTTACTGCTCTGAAATGGCAATTAGGGGCTTCGTGCCGTACTGGAGTAATCCAATATGTTGTGGTTCCGCGAGTCTAATTCTGCAATAAAAGAGCTCTGTTCCATGGAAAAACGTTATGTCATCTTCGGTGTTATAATTTGATTGGGATTAGTCATTCGTTCGTTCTACATTTCGGGAAAAAAACAATCTTTTTGCAATACTTTGTCTGCCAGTGCTGCGAATTTGATGTTCTATTTTTACGGTACTCTTCAGGAACAATGATTAAGCTTTTTAAAGTGAAGGAAAAGCAGAGAGAGATTGCACAGAATGCCAATGGAAAACCTCCTGGCAAGAAGCAAAGTGCAGGAGAATTGCGTCTTCAAAAAGGTAACCATTTTACTTCTTTTTCATTTACATCTTTGATGAAGAACTGATGAACTTGAAGCCATGATTCTGTGGTTTGTAGATTGTCGATCGTAGTCGTTCTTTTTCTAGAGCTTTTTACGAAAACCCATTTGGTTTGTTATATTTATTAGCATCCATTGTCTTAACTAAGGTTCAGATCAGTTTAGTGTTATGGATTTTTTAGATTTCAAATATGATATTGCATTCCTCTTTCTGCTGGAACTTTATTTTTAAGTCACTTATCAGTCTGGAATTAGCTATTGTGACGTGATGAAGTTGAAGTTTGGTGTCTTCCTAGCTTGCTCTTGGCGCACACTCTAGAAATTGTTGTAACTAATTTAGTTTAGTAGTTTATGTATCAAGGCCAACTAGAATAACTTTTATAATCTGTGTGGCTTTGAGCGCAAGAGGCCTTTTATCTTCTTGTGTTTTACTTTATTTGCTGAGTTATGCAAGTGATATAAATATGGTATGAACATCAGTTAATTTTTCTATTCACTGTGGTGTAATATGGCTATATACTCGTTTCGTTTGGTCTCATGCCTGGAGTTCAAGGTATTATTTGATTTTTAATTGTAGATATCAGTGAATTGAACCTACCAAAAACGTGTTGTATATCGTTTCCTAATGGCAAGGATGACTTGATGAACTTTGAGGTCACTATTCAGCCTGATGAAGGATATTATCTGTAAGTAGTCTCTTGTAGGCATTGTTTTTCAGTTTAGTTGCAATATGTTCTTCTCAAGATGAAATGCACGTGTTCACGTCACAATTCCCGAATCTCAGATGTGCATGATGCGTCTTATCACTTTAAATATTAGGAGCTGAAGATATATGCATGGATGTCATATCATTTTTATCAATGAAGCTTCAATGGAACTTTGCATTGGACTTGGTTCAACTGTATATATGCTGTGTATTGACACACTGTTTTTTTCATGTTTTAATCACTATTTCTTGGTTAAGATGTCTGTTCCTCCCCCCACCCAGTAGCTGTTCCTCGGTTATGAACTGTATAAGTCTCTTTGATTTCATGTTAACAGAGGCGGCACGTTTCTCTTCTCTTTCCAAGTTTCCCCTGTGTACCCTCACGAGCCACCAAAAGTGAAGTGCAAGACAAAGGTAACGATGCTGATCTTGTTGATTAATTTGTGTTTTCTTTTTAATATTTTAGAAGTAGCTGAACACATTTGACTTGCAGGTGTATCATCCTAATATTGACTTGGAAGGAAATGTTTGTCTCAACATTTTAAGAGAGGACTGGAAGCCCGTTCTGAATATCAACACTATAATATACGGATTATTTCATCTTTTCACGGTATTTACGATTTTACCGATGTCGAACTTACTACTGCAAACATTCAAACATTTATCTGTGTTTACATTTAATCACACTCATACGACTGGAATGGTTCTTTATGTGAAGTTTAGGACCCAAAATAAAAAATTCCAAATGCTTTTAAGAAATCAAAATGGAAATAGGCGCATAAATTTAAGGAACTGAATAGAGTTAGAATCTCAGTGGGGTTCTTTTAATCACATTTTATATTTTCTATTCTTGCAGCAACCAAATCATGAAGACCCCCTCAACCACGATGCTGCAGCTGTTTTAAGGGATAACCCGAAGACGTTCGAATCCAATGTGAGAAGAGCCATGGCTGGGGGATATGTGGGACAGACATACTTCACGCGTTGCATGTAGACTCTACGTGAATTGTAAAGCACCAGATACATCATTCGAAACATGGGCTCGACGAGGTCTTCGAACTTCTCTGGTAAGGTAATGTCTAATGTGTTGAGTACTGTCTGCTCACCGACGCAACACAAAATCCTTTGTGAACTTTGTTGTGTGTTTGCAGTATTGGTTTCCATGGAAGTTGGACTGGAAACTGAAACACTTATCTCTGTGCATGTATTTCATCTAATTTATCTTGAAAAGACAGATTGCTCTTTTTCTATCAGTTGAAAGTATAAGGTATGTTTTTGGAGCCTCCCTTCTTTTTCTTTATTATGAATGTAAATTTACTGAATTGTTGGATCATAATGATTTAATTCCTTGTAATTTCGAGTTCGTATCTTTGGTAGTTTCACATTTTGTGATCATCACAAGATTGGAGAGTTTTTATCATTTTAATGATACAATGCCTTTTAATTTAGCATGATGAGCTGTGGTAAAAGTAGTAATGAAAGTAAGAAGAGACAGAGGAGGAAGCATATGAACTAAGCTGCCTATTAGGTTCAAACTTAACAGAAACAAACATTGAGCCTGCAAGATCTTCTGTGCCAAGAAGAGGTGAAATCTCTCACCTGGATCAAAAAAATGGCAGCAAAGAAGCGATGGAGCGGTTGTCGACATTCCTTCATTGACCAACTTTTCGACCCTTTTAGCTCCCATGGTGGCAGGCAGCCGTTATCATGTGTAACGGCCCAGATCCACCGCTAGTAGATATTGTCCTCTTTGGGCTTTCCCTTTCGGGCTTCCCCTTAAGGCTTTAAAACGTAGGGGAAGGTTTCCACACCTTTATAAATGGTGGTTTGTTCTCCTCCCCAACCAATGTGGGACATGACATCATGTGAGTGAAGAAACAATGAAGACGTTGAGACTTACGATTGATGTATTGAGATTGATGTGAATCAACTGAAAGTAGTTCGTATTTGCTTCTTCTCGATGTCGTATCCTTGGAAATTTGAGTCATGTGGAACAGGTGGAAGTCTTGAGAGCCTTGGGGAGCATTCTTTTTTCCGACCAAACAGAGCGCTGGAGACCGGAAAATTGGAAGAGAAGGAGAAGAGAGCAGAGATGAATCAGAAATCCCAACAAGAAAATGAAATGAAATGAGGAAGAAGAGGAGAAGAAAAAAGCAAAGAATGTCTGAGAATTTGGCAGTTAATTAAAAGATGGAAGCTTTGAAAGGAAACTCTGTCGCTCTTCCATTTGACAGATTGACTGCCTTGCTCTTCTAAAGAATTTCATCGCTTCATTTTATTTATTTTCTACCCATATTAGTGGTGAGAAAAATGGCAATGGTTAAACGTCATCCTCTCTTGTTCATTTGTGTCGGTGCTCATGAAAATTTTGGAGGTCGGCCCCTATTCTCTGGCTCTGGAGGGATGCTCGGTTAACAATATTGACCTGACTTGTTCACCGAGCAAAAGGAATACCTCTATCAATCAGCAAAAAGAGGAACTCTTGAGCATATTCTTATAGATTCGTTAAAATGAATGGCTCCGTTTTCGGATTCAGGAATTTCAGTATAGTGGATGAGTACAATAGGAATCAATCAAGGTTATTTTACGGTAGTATGGACTATTTGACTTAGTAACAACTAGTCAATTCATTAATAGGAAAACTCCGAAAAAAAGGGTTGTAGGGAATATTCCCTTAACATATCTTAATTCTACACTTTTCTTTGACGATGATTGTCTAGAACTGTACTATTTTATAGTACCATCATGAAAATATGGTTTTATTTATGAGTTTGATGCAGATAAATTGGCACGTTTAGAATTTCATTTTAGACCATTTGTGGAGTGCTAATATTTTAAAAGATTTTCTCGAAGGGCATATAATGAATCTTTTGAATCTTTTGAATGTATAAAACCAAATTAAAATCTAGTGTAAATAAAAAAAACTAAAATAATAATAAATAAAATTGATTTACATTTTAAATATTAATTCAATGCCACCAAATATGGTTCCTTTTGTACTTTTCTTTTCGAGATTCCCCTAAGGTTTTTAAAACGCCTGCAGAGATTTACATACCATTTTTAAAGAATATGCTTTGTTCCCCTAGACAACCAACGTGGGATCTCATAATCTACAGAGGACTCAACATCCTTACTGGTACTCCGCCCGATGTTGGCTCTAATACTATTTACCTAGCTCAAACCTACTACTAATATATATTGTCTTCTGTGAGTTTTCTCTCAAGGCTTTTAAAATACGTCTGAGAAATTTCCACATCCTTATAAGGAATGCTAAAGTCTATAAGGGAGAAATTTTCATATCCTTATAAGGAATGCTAAAATATAGTCTATTAGGGAGAAATTTCCATATTATTATAAGGAATGCTAAAATACATCTATCAGGAAGAAATTTTCACATCCTTATAAAGAATGCTAAAATACATCTATTAGGAAAAAATTTCCACATGCTTCGTTCGTTCCCCTCCCCTGGATGAAGCTGATATAATATAAGTAGCAATTAAAATGTCCAAAGAGTATCCATTTTACCATACATAACCTTATAATATTTCCTCCTTAAGAACTTGTAATATTTTCAATATGCTAAACGAGTGACCCTGCAACAAAAAGAGCTCATCAAGATTCAGACCTTCCATGAAACTATGAACAACACCATTGGTAAAGGAACTAACCAAAACCAATTGAGCCACAGAAAATGTAAGCCATAACAGTCTATCATTCATTGTTCATTCTGTGGCCACACTGAAAAAACCTTTTAAAGAGTAATTCTTTTCCTTTTTCCTTCTTTTATCAAATAAAGCATAAGAAAAACTACGTGGAAGCCAACAATAATCACTGTGATTAGAAAAGAACAGGCTCTCTTGTGGAGCCAACAAAGATTTGTCCAACTAAAATATGCTGTGAATTGCAGAACATAAATAAAGAAGTTTACCAATCCGAGCCGTCAGGGAACGGGTTCAGAGCATCCTGCTTCCCGTTGACGTAGAAGTCGACCACGGCTTTCATTCGAGGAAACTTATCGGGATGGTAATTCACATGAACAATGACTGGCTTCAACTTTTTCAGATTATCATCCTTCCTTACAGTCTTGAATAGAACCTTGCTATTCATAAAAAGATAGAAATCCATAGTTCTTCTTGAAGCATAAAGCCCCTCGTAGTTCGAATGCGAAGGGAAAAACAGTTCCTCATTGAAAACAGCCTGGTCCCATGAATTACGTTCTTGAGAAAGACGTTTAGCCACACGATCTAAAAGCTCAATTGCAGGAATAGTTGGTCGAATATAGAAGAAGCCCGAGTTATAAACCCAGATACGCATTGTGTGCGCGAATCGAGCCCAACCCATTGAAGGTTCCTCAAAGACATGGTTGTATCCATAAGCAGTTGCATTGTCATGACCATCGGTCATGGATTCAACATCTGAATCCCGATAAAGATGATCGAAAGGATTTTGCAAGTAAACAATATCGACATCAGATAGTAAAACACCATATCCTAACTGCAGAAACTCCCTCAAAATGCTGAATTTCGTCCCGGAAACGGCATGGTTCCCTCCTGTTCTTCCAATTGAATCAACTTTTTCATCAGGGTCTCTCTTATAAACTGGAACATCATTTTTTTTACAGAATTGAACAATTTCATCATCCAAAGCAACCACAAGATAATTAGGTATTCCTGCTTTCTTGATGGTAGTAAACCATAGTTCCAACATCACCTTCACATTTGAATTTGCTACCGCGACTATAAGCTCTCGATTAACGGCAACTTTCTCTAATATATTTGCTAATCTTAGATTGACAGATTGATCAGGGATAACTGGTGGATTTGTTCTTACAGCTTTAACCGTTCCGAATGGCCCGGCTTTCGACTGTTTACCTAAAGCAAGAACTTGCTTCTGTGCATGATCTTTACCTTGCTCAGCCAACTTAAGCTTCTCCGTTAATTCCCTGATCTGTTTTTCCAGCTGAGCATTCTTCTCAGATGCTGATATAAACTCGGATTTTAACATGTCGATCCGTTCAGATGAATCGCACGAATTCGAATCGGCCTAGTGCACAACCAGTTTATCAAATTACTACTAGATCATGTCAATATTGCCTAGAATTCTACAACAAACTCATGGTATCAGAATCTATAGCATTAGCATATGAATTCATAATTATGAACACCAGAGAACCAGAGAAGCATAATAGACTTATTAACACATTCGAATAATCTGGTTATCATCCCAAAAGAATCATTGATTTTAGCATATGATGGTTCATCAAATAAAGCAAAACAATTACAGAATGAAGCACACATGAACATTCAACAAGAGGCTCAAATCGAGAAGCGTAATGAGAGGGAAAGAAAACAGGGCACGTGTAAACAAAAACCTGGGTTATGAATTTGACGGAGCGAGAATCACGAACTGAGAGAGCGCTCGATTTGAAGATCCCAGCAGGGAACAAGAACGCAAAAACGAATCCAAGAAGGACGCCGATAGATATGGCAGTCCCGACCTTCGATTTGCAGAAAATGGATCCTTGCGAGGAGTTTCTCATCAACGCCCCGTCTCTGCGAACATTCATGGCTTCCCGCTCAGCACAAATCGAAAGTTTCAGAGGGACCCAGATGGACAAAAATGGCGATTAACGTTAATTGAAAGCTAAACTCAAGAACAGAGGATTTTGAGACTCATAAACAGCGAAATCTTAAGAGTGTCTGAAGAAGAAAAGGCACCAGATCGGTGCTATGAAATTTGGGTCGATTTGGGATTCAGAGGAACTGAAAGTCTGCTGCTTCTACAGAGTTGACTTAGTAGAGTTACGGAGGCTAGCAGAGATTCATAGATTAGTATTGGTTTAGATCGTTTAGGGTATAATTAATTGATGAAGGGGGATTATGAAGGAACACAAACGGTGGAATTTTCAAGCTAGGTGGCTGAAAAATGCATATTAATCATGTTTTGAATTTAAAGGTGAGATTTTTTGGGTGGCTTTCTTTTTTACTATACTCATTTTGAGTGAAAGCTAACTTAGGTCTATAACTGAACAACGTATGCTCAAGCCTCTGACCCCGATTTGAGAAAAGTTTTAAAAAATGGGACCACATCATCTTAGAAAGAGAGATTGAAAACAATGTTGTATGACATGCAAGCAAAAAACAACACAACGACTTAAATAGCATATAACTTTTCAAGCCGGAAGAATTTGACAACTAGTAGCATCCCCTTAAGTACATTTTGAGGCGATTCAGGTCTGGCAGGCCTATACGTGATTTCTCTGAATGGTCATACAAAATCTAGGTAGGAGGAGTTGACGACTGGTCGCATCCCCCTGTAGTATTCTATGTGCCAGCGAGGACGTTGGGCCCTGAACGAGGGGTGATTAGGGGGATCCACATCAATTGGAGACGGGAACGAGTGCCAGCGAGGACACTGGGCCCGAAGGGGGTGGATTATGAGATCCCACATCGGTTGGAGAGAGGAACGGAGCATTCTTTATAAGGGTGTGAAAACCTCTCCCTAACATATGAGTTTTAAAAACCTTGAGAAAAAGTCCGAAAGGAAAAACCCAAAGAGGACAATATCTACTAGCGCTAGGCTTGGACTGTTATAAACGGTATCAGAGCCAAACATCGTACGATATGTTAGCGAGGAGGCTAAATCCCAAAGGGAGGTGGACACCAGGCGATATGCCAGCGAGGACGTTGGGCACCAAAGGAGGGGTGATTAAGGGGTCCCACATCGATTAGAGACGGGAACGAGTGCCAGCGAGAACGCTAGGCTCTGAAGGGAGTGAATTATGAAATCCCACATCAGTTGTAGAGAAGAACAACCTCTCCTTAGCCGACACATTTTAAAAACCTTGAGGGAAAACTCGAAAGGAAAAACCTAAAAAGGACAATATCTACTAGAAGTAGGCTTGAGCAGTTAGATTCAGACAGTAACCCGAAAAACAATCACATAAAATGATCATATATGAAAAAAAAAACGCTTCCAACTTTGGTAAGTCAATTGATCTTTCACCTATGAACTAACTTAAGAACCAATATCATAAATTTAACTAAAGCATGAGTTTACTACACAGTTTCATAGAAAAAAGAGAGTTTTGTTCAAAGAAATACCTCGAGAAAAAAGGCAGATGTATAGCACTAATAGCTGAAGTTTGATATTAACAAAATGCTTCCTCTACTGCAAGCAACTCATCAGTCAAGGAGGCTAAGGTTGAATATATAGCCTCATTTTGTAAGTGAAACCTATCACCAGAAATGAACACATGAAACTTATTTTCCACAAAAACCCAACTAAAACCAGCATTCTTCTTAACATCCTTTCCTTTCATCTTCTTCCTTATTCGTCCCATCTCCTCCCAATTCCCTTCTGCAGCATAAACATTCGCTAACTGCACGTATCGAGCGCCGTTTTCTCCTTCGATCATCAACAGTTCGTCTTCTGCTTCTCTAGCAAGTTCAGTATTCCCATTGATCCTACAAGCATTTAGAAATGCTCCCCATATGACAGCATCCAACTCTATGGGAATCCTTTTCATGAATGCCAATGCCTTATTTAGTTCATTAGCCCTTCCGTACAAATCGATCATACAAGCATAATGATCGATTTCGGGACTGATATTGTAATCATTAGTCATAGAGTCGAAAAAACGCTCACCTAGTTCGACTAAACCGCTGTGTCGACACGCAGAAAGTAGTGCAATGAAAGTGATTGCATCTGGTTCGAAATCGTTTTCAATCATTTCCTTGAAAAGATGAACTGCTTCATTTTCCCACCCATGGTGAGCATAGCCAGCTATCATAATGTTGTAAAGAATAGAATCCTTGTCAAGAACTTCTCTGAAAATTCTTTCTGCATAAATGATACTTCCACATTTTGAGTACATATCAACCAATGAACTGGCTAGTTTCACTTTGAATTCGATGCCTGCTCGGAGCATGTAACCGTGTATCTGCTTCCCAGGAGCCAGAGCAGCTTGTCTAGCACAAGCACCAATTATGCTGACAAGAATCAGCACATCAAGAACAGCTGCCTCCTTCCTATATTCACTTAAAAGTTCAAAAACTGCTTCAAATTGCTGTGATTTGACATATTCAATAAATAAAGCAGTCCACACGACAGAATTCTTTTCATCCAAGGAATCAAAAAGCTTTCTGGCTTCTACCATGTTACCTTGAGAAGAATAGCCAACAATCATTGAAGTGATCGAGTATACATTTCGCGTCGTCAATTCTGAATGAACCGACTCGGCATACCTCATGTTATTGCACTTGCAGTATACATCAACAAGGCCACTGCCAATGAAGGGATTAACAATCAGCCCATTCTTCAAAACATAAGCATGTATTTCCTTTCCAAGCTTCAAGCTCTTTAGATTGGAGCAAGCACTCAAGACACTTGCAAAAGTGTGTTCATTCCACCTAACATTTTCATCTGCCATATTAACGAATAACTTTAATGACTCTTCGTCGTAACCGTTCTGAACAAAACCTGATATCATCGTGTTCCATGCTACAACATCATTTCGATCCCGTTCCCTCGAGAAAAGATCCACAGCCAAATCTATCTCCCCTGCTCTACAACAAGCTGCTACCATGGCATTTCTAGAGACCAAATCAATAACCTCACCACATCCATCATAAACTCTACAAGCTTCTTTAAAACATCCACACTTAGAGTACATATCAATTAAGGAACTAGCAGCAAAAACGCTTAAATCATTAGCAGTCTTCAACATAAAGGTATGTAACTGTTTTCCATAAGAAAGCACACATAACTTAGCAGTTAAATTAAGCATGATTGTAAGACTAAACTCATCAAGTCTAATCATATCAGAGGCTGTTTGCATTTCCACAAAAAGCCCAAGTGCTTGAGCCTCATACCCATCAGAGCTAACATAACCAGACAACATTGAGTTGTAAGTAACCAAATCTCTATAATGAGCGGAGTCAAATAATTCCCGCGCTTTTCTCAAGTTCTGAGACTTGATATACGCTGCAATTATCGCATTCCATGAGAAGACATTCCGTTCAGGCATTTCGTCGAACACTTTGTGGGCATCGCCAAGAAGACCATGTTTCGCATACAAGCTTATGAGTTGATTCGACGTGAAAATGGTGGGCGTAAACCCGGATTTGATGGCTTGGACATGGCATAGTAACCCATGTTTCAGATGCTTCATTTGCATATAATACTGCCAAACTGAAAGAGCGGGCAGTAGGTTGAATCAAGGTCAGGGTTTCATTGGGCAGATGAACAAGAAGAAGAAGTTATACAAAACAGTAACTTTAGAAGCTTCATAGCTACGGAGGTTTGTCTGTGTTGTGTTCGCCTTTATACTCCAGCTGCCATATCAAAGAACATGTGGGCTCCTCGATTTTAAAATTTAATTTTTAATATTTAAAATTTAAAATGGTAAAATTTTAGTCGTTTAAAATTTATAACAATTTTGTTTTAATAATTTAAAATTACACAGATTTATCTCATACTATGAAATTTTATATAAACGGGTAACAAAATTTCTAATACAGTCGCCGAACACTACAGAACAGAAAAGGACCCACATGATATCATGGTGAACATAAATATCGTAATTCATTCTTTCGTATCATAAAGGGGGAGAATCCCGATGCACGTGACATACATATATGCACGAGATCCCTTAACATATCTAACATGACATTACATAAACAGTGCTAACATCGCATATACGTTTCTTACATTACATGACATGAAAGTACATTCCAGTTGCATAAACATCTCATGACATGATTCAAGACTCAATAATACTACGTGTATCCATAGATATGAAAACGAAAATTATAAATTTACATTACATATGAAAGTTTAAGGACTAAATCGCTAGAAATTTAACTACATTGCTAAATTGTTATATACTAAAGTTTTCCAGAGCCCATCAAACTATATTTAAGTTGATGTTACATAATAAAATTTAGAAACTAGTTTAAACCAACATAAACATTGACTCAGCCGACATAAATCATGTATTTTTAACGACGGTCGAAAGTTCGAATTCCCCAAGTTTGTAGTTAAACTAAAAAGACCTATTAAGTTTAGTAAATGAATAAAAAAAAAATAACCCAAATTATAAAGGCTATTTTGGCTAAACTCCAGTATTGTTCTCCATTTGATCAAATAAATTGTGAACTCATTTGTAATGGAAAACCATTATCACAGCTACGACCCTCACAAGTGAAGACAAAACCATGGTATTTAAAGTTTACAGTGTTTGTGTTGAAGTCCAAATGTTTCAGGGCATGGGGCCATGGAACACAATTCTGCCTGCTATGTAAACTAACCTGGCATCATCTGCATTACGAAAAGAAGGTGAGATAGACAGGCTAGTTTGATTTTCCAAAAAAAAAAAAAAACTAACTTCTTTCGTGTAATAGCTCAAGCCCACCGCTAGCCGATACTGTCATCTTTGAGATTTTCCTCAAGATTTTTAAAACGCATCTACAAGGAAGAGGTTTCCACACCGTTACAAGGAATGTTTCGTTCCCCTCTCCAATCGAGGGGGGATCTCACAATCTACCCCCCTTTGGAGCCTAGTGTCCTCGCTCGCACACCGCCTGGTGTATGACTTTGATACCATTTGTAACAGCCCAAGCTCACTACTAGCAAATATTGTCCTCTTTGAGCTTTCACTTCTGAGCTTTCACTTCTGAGCTTCCCCTCAAGGTTTTTAAAATGCATCTACTAGGAAGAGGTTTCCACACCCTTACAAGGAATGTTTCGTTCCCCTCTTCAACAGATGTGGGATCTTACATTTGAGCTCTTTTATTTCAAAAGTATCAAAAGTAAAGGTTGATAAGATTTAAGGTCTCAGTAAGTTCTATGCACCAACTAATGTTTTGGAGATACATTTCTCAACTGCATGGTTGTAATCAGATGAACCCTAAACTAAATAAACCAAATTAGTATAGTAAATCGTTTGACAAAAGGTGAAGTGACACTAGTACCTGCAATTTCGTTTGAATGAAATTCATGGGGAACGTTGTTTTCGGTCTCGACAGCAGCTTTGGCAGCTGCAATTCCAATGGCTGTACTTTGGTAGATATTTAAGCCAGCGCAAATGGAAGCAAGCATACCCCCAACCAAGCAATCTCCGCAGCCTGTAAGCCTCACTACTGATGCAGGAAGGGCAGGGAAGTGCATTGCAAAAAGAACAGAGTTTTTCTCTGTTTCAGGAGAAACAGAGAACATGTTTGGTGGACAACTCGTAGCTAAGGTTCTAAATAGTTGGCTGCTGGATCCATAATTGTTGATTTCTTTTGAAATTTTTTTCACGAAGCTTGGGCAGCCTTTAGAACAGACGAATACCCCACGAGAACCAACGGTCAGAATGACGACCTTGACACCTTTCTCAAGCAAAACCCATACAGCAGATTTCAGTTGTTCGAAAAAAGATTCAATTGAACAAGTAGTAATGGTATTATCTCGTTTGATAGGAGAAAACAAATCTTGACCAGATAGGGCATTGGCCATGGCAATAAGTTCATCTTCATTAGGGGAGGTGAAACTTATCTGCAAAAATGAGAAGCTATGATTAAAGAAAATGTAGAAAATCAAATGGCTGTAAATTAGGAAAAAAAAAAAATTCAAATGTGAGATACGATCAGGTGCTAAATCTCTAGATTAAACAATATGGCAAGTAAATATTGTTGCAAGAAGCATCAGAAACTCATACAATGCGAACATGATGTTAATGAAGTTGTAGACAGAGGAAAGGCAAATAGACTAAGAATCTACTGATCCCCCTGATGACAAATATATATAATATTTACTGGCAGATCCAACTTTCAGATCTTTTTTTTCCTGAAAACGAACGAAAGACAAGGAAGCTATATTGATTTACCTGTGAATATCGTTTATTCTTTCCTGTTTTTCATAAACTTTTAGACAAACTGAACTAAAGTTCAATTGATCTCCAAATATGAGCAGGCAAGTCAGAATTTTGTTACAATTCCAATGCAAAACCACCTCAGAATTTTTTCATCGCCATTTTCATTCGGAAAAAATAAAAAATAAAAAACAGGGAAATCGAACCACCTCAGTAAGAAAAGAAATGACAAATAAAAAATTTCTCGCAAGTGAAAAACTCTCAAACTTTAAGAGAAAATATTTGCATGAGGAGATGTGAACTCACATACTTGACAACTGAAGCAACCCTTCTTGATTTAGCAACTGACACAGGCTCAAACCACACTGGAGTATCATACTCGGCAGCAACTAAGAAAAAGATGCAGGAAAAGATATACAGAGATCGTTAACACAGACCAATAAAGACAAGCAGAGGAAGCTATAAAGAAAAAGAGTAGTACTTTGGCAAGAGACTTTCAGAGCATGTGGACTTAGATTTGCATCAACCATAACCACTGGTGCAGCACGAATATTGCACTTGAATTTCTCAATCCAATCAGGTGTGAGAAATTTTTCCTGTGTAATGCCGTTCTCAGTTCCTTGTGGTACTACCATCAATCTTATACAAGATTCACAATACTAAATCCTTGTAATAATATAAATCTATTTATAAACATCCACTTACAATAGCTTCCACACTTGCCACAGCAGCTGCCAATTCTCCATGGACATCAACTACGGCACACACAACAGCAGTGCTGATGTCTTGGTGCTTCCGAATGCCTATTCAAACATGAAATTGTTCTAGAAAGTATATCATTTCTATCTTCACCAAGTATATGTTTAATAACCAAGTAATAATTTTCTTTTAACCTAGTTTGATACTTTTGCTTTCACTTCATTAACTTCCATCATGGATTCGAAGATAAGGAAGTCAGAAGGATAAATATGATTCATTGCTAGGAAATTGTAAAATTCACTCAGCGGCAGTGATATCCTATGCAAGAGTTCATTTCAAGAAAAGATCTAAAAACAGATTGCTAGTTAGGCTGTTTATGTAACTTGCACCACATTACTAAGTTCTAGCAGCTGATTTATCCTTAATAAATTGCTCAAAAGGAACAACCAAATCTAGATTGTAACTTCTGAATGATTCACAATCCAAAGCACAATCAACTACAGATTTTTTGTAGTGATTGTTATGGGGACATTCTAAAAACAGTCAATTCAAAAGTGAAATAAAAATTGTTATATTTCGTCAGAACTTGAGGTAGATTCTATTTAAGGTTTAAAATACTTAGAATGGTCCAAAAAACCATTTACGCTGGAACGCTAAACAACAGTAGTGGATAATACCACAGATGATGAACACCAGAATAGAAGAAAATTTCCATTGGAACAACAAAAAATGAAGTACCATATTTCATTAACTGATACTAGCTAGTATAGATGGCAATTATATGGATAGAAAGATTTACCCTCTGTTGATAACCCTGCCAATCTCCAATTCTCAAACAAGAGATTCCCTATTTCAGGGGAAAAAAGAGTTAGAAAAAAGAGAAAGTAAAACATCTTTTTTCTTTGTAAAATGTATAAAAAATATTTTCCAAAAATCGAGGGAGGAGACCATAAATAATGAACTGTGAATCCATCTGAGTTACATTGAACCAAGAAAGACATGAATGTGAAAAAAACCAATCTGCCACTCTAGAATGTCACATGCCACAGTAGACGTACAAAAACAAAACGATACAAGATCAGAGAAGAACCTGCCATGTCATGTCCCACCACACTAATCATAAAAGGGGTGCTCCCAAGCTTTGACATGCATTCAGCAACATTCCGCGCTACGCCTCCTAATATATAGTTGATCTGAAAAGGCAAATTCTCAAAGGTAAGAGTGGAAATATAGAAGTAACAATAGATTCAGTAAGAAAATATTGTCATTATGACAATACAGATGACCAATGAGCTCAACTTATTGTAAAAATATAGAACACTGGCCAGAAAACAAAAACACCAAATACCAACAAGCCAATGAAAATGAGGATTTATGGTAGTCACGGTGCCATCTTACTTACTGGACTGAACCCAAAAATGGATACATTTGTCGTTGCACTTTCATCCATATCATAGTTGTGAGTATTTTCTCTAAATCTTTCAAACGGAATTTTCAGATGAAGTTACCTACTGAAGCTAAAATTAAGTATATCATAAACGATGCTAAAGATATAATTACTAAGAAAGACAATAAAACACAAACTCTATTCATTTCTAATATTTCGTACTTCGAAAATCGAGCGTGTTAAACATTTTAAAATAAAGGATATGTTTCATCTATAAATCCATTTGCCAGATTTTCCAGTAGTTTGAGTCCTTAGTTATAGAACAATAAGAGAAAGTGAAACTCAACGAGCACAAGATTTATGCAACCATTAGTTCCAGCTTCTTCTAGGGGAACCTAATGATCCCTCAATAATTAATGTTAAAAACTTTCAAGCATTATAGCTTAAGAGGTCTACAATAGTTGGATAACAATTCAAAATCTGTATGTCCCTAATAAAAATTATATACCAATTCAAAATAGGCTGGTGCAATTTCCTTCTCATATCGATAATATTCTACAACAAACAGCCACATTATTCCAAGCTCCACAAATGATTTCCCCAACTTTGAAAAAATTCATATTTAAATAGCAATTAGTAAATTACCTTTCCGGGCGTAGTTGACCTCGGAACGGCGGAAATGGATGGTATGGCGTGAATATCCAGCACCATACCTCCAACAATCACAGGCTCAGCCACACCAATTTCCAATTGGTTTCCACTATTCGTTGGCGCCTAAAATACACTTACAATATCATCAAGATCGCAAAAAAAAAAGAAAAAAAGAAGAATGTCTCGCCTCTGTAAAACAGCTTGAATATTGAAGGAAAAGAGATTGTAAGAGTGAAGAGATGCTAACCGGATTAAGAGCGTTGTTGAACTCACATGGCGGCGAAAGAAGGTGACGATGAATCAAATTGATCCGCCTCCGAGCACTGCTCTCCATGGCTTCCAATCTCCAAACCTTTCAGTGGACTACTGAAAGTGAAATTCGAAGACCAGAGTTGAATTCAGTTCTTCCGCTGGATGGATACAAAGACGAAACACCCACCCTCACCACTCTATGATCAATGAGAAATTTGGGTCTAAGTTAGGTCGGTATGATATTGTCCACTTCGACCCTAAGCTCTCATGGCTTTGCTTTGGGCTTCCTTTAATTTGGGCTTCCCAAAAGGTCTCATAGCAATGGAGTTAGTATTCCTCACTTGTAAACCTATGATCATTCTCTAAATTAGCCGATGTGGGACTTTCATCATCCAACCGACGGTTCATATAAGGTTATAAGGGATTTCAACCGTACTTGAATGTAGTTAAACAAATGTGTGCAAACCTCTCCGGTATGTAATGAATAAAAGCAAATAATATCTGCTCCTAACGGTGTCAAAATTAGTGCAACACAATGTGAATAGTTTATTTCAATAGAGTCTTCGTAGTAGCTATTTATAGGATTTATTTCCTTTTAAACAGGAGCTCTCGTCTTAGTAAAACACAAGCACATCAAAGCTGTTCATTATTTCAGTTGTCTCTATATTATTCTCTTTGAGTAATAATAATTTCATATTTATTCACACCTTTGAGCGTGAGATATTGTTACAGTTGGTATCAGAGTCAGGTTGATACGGTTGAAATTATTGCTCAACGAGATGAATGGTGGAAGTGCTTCTATGGGTGTAGCTATGGAAAAGCTGGTTGGCTATAATTACAATTATTGGAAGTTATGTATGGAAGCTTATCTACAGGAACAAGATTTGTGAGATTTAATTGAAGAGGATCACAGACATGCCAGCGGACACTCCACAGAATGCTGAATTACGCCGAAAATGGAAGATCAAATGTGGAAAAGTTTATTTACCTCGCGAACTCTTATTAGCAAGGAATATATTGATCATGTTCGTGATTTAAAGTCACCCAAGCAAGTGTAGGAAAATGGAAGATCAAATATGGAAAAGTCTTATTTACCTTGCGAACTCTTATTAGCAAGAAATATATTGATCATGTTCGTAATTTAAAGTCACCAAAGCAAGTGTGGGAAACCCTTCAAAAAGTTGTTCACTAAGAAAAATACAACTCGATTGCAATTTGTAGAGAATGAACTGGCTGTGGTAACTCAAGGTAATTTTTCTATTGAAGAATATTTCTTGAAAGTAAAAAATCTATGTTCTGAAGTTTTAGAATTAGATGCTGAGAGCTAGTGAGTGATCCTCGATTACGGCGTTATCTTATTTGTGGATTACGAAAATAATTTATGCCTTTTGTTTCCTCAATAGAAGGAGAATCTTCTATCACCAACGAGTTTTCCCAAAGTCAGAAGATGTGTTGTATGTCAAAGATCAAAGGAGTCAAAATTATCCTTCAAAGCCTTCATCAACCAATGGGAATCGGTTCAAAAGTGAGGAGTCATCAAAGAAGTCATTTAAAGCTTGCTACAGGTGTGAAAAATCTGGCCATTTTAAACGAGATGATCAGGTGAAAGTGGTGTGTCATCGTTGTGGAAAGCCAATCCATATTAAGCCAAATTACCGAGTCAAAATGCAAGAATTCGAAACAAATGCTGTACATGAAAGTAAAAATTCTTCCGATCCAATTTGGGAATACTTCTTAACCACTGAGGTTCTTGACCAGCCAACAAACGTTGTACATCAAGATGATGTTTTTACAGATGATGATGTCAATTATGCCGCCCCTGGTGACCCTTCTGTTTATTTCATGGCCTTGGATTTGGGATTCGACGAAAATGATGATTTCGAGCTAACCTTTGGCGATCTTGACGGTCCTTCCCTTTCCTTTGAGGCTGACGATTTCCTCATCTCCGAAGATTTGGATCAAACTACCAATTTGTTGGACTTGCAGGCTGACCAAGAAGCTTCTGGGGGTGCTGCTGTTCATGCTTACAGCTTTGCATGCTCTCCAGGATCCGAAAGCTCTGCGGTTTCATGCAAGCAGTCCCCTAATGAAGGTGAGTTTCTAAACTATCAATCTTCTGTATTAAGAATCGCAGGTAGTGAGTGTTTTTCGATCCATTCTGGTGGATGGGACTCAAAGAGTCTGAGGATTGTCAATTGTCCTTCCCCATAGCATGGTGGCGGTGGTAGTGATCATGAATTCTCAAGCGAGCCAATGTCGTATCACGACTCAAGTTCTGAAAATTTCGATTCTGGCGTCTTTGAGGGAATGAATTGCCCATCTTCTAATGCAGAGTATTACGATGTCATTGTCGATCAGAAGATTAAATCAGAGGAAATAGGAAAAATTTGCATGACGAAGAGGAAGAAAGACCTGGATGAAGGAAACCCGGATTTGAGATTAGAAAGTATCAATCCCCAATTGAGTTCCTGTTCTCTAAATGAGGATGAAGAGAAGAGGAAGGCGAGGTTGATGAGGAATAGAGAGAGTGCGCAACTTTCCCGACAGAGGAAAAAGCATTATGTGGAGGAGTTTGAGGATAAATTGAGAAGTATGCATTCAACCATTGCTGAATTGAATAGTAAGATATCATATGTGATGACTGAGAATGCAGGCCTGAGACAACAGTTGAGTGGCAGTGGTATGTGTCAGCCTCCTCCTCCGGCTAGGAGTAAAAAGAATGAGAGTAAGAAGGTTGTGAGAAGAACTAAGAAGGTTTCCAATATTAATTTTCTGGGTCTGTTGTTCTTTATTATGCTATTTTGTGATCTAGTTCTGGTAGTGAATGACATATTTGGCAATGTTGAAGGAGTTCCTGGCACGTTAGCATTTGTTGAGGAGAGGTTATACAATTAAAACTGAGGAAGGATTTTGAGAGTCGGTAAGTATTCGAATTTATCTTGTGAGAAATTTGATACTTTGAACCTCTTAATATGTGAGGAAATTCATAGGAAAGGGGCGGACAATTTCAATGCCTATTCTATGCAAGCTGGTTGAGAGAATTGGGGACGTCTTCGGAGCTTTCTGAGAAGAGGGTTTTCTGGGAAGAGTCCGGCCATGACTATGCTTCGGTTCTCAAGGAATTGGGGGTTTTGAGAACCCGAGCAAATCGAGCGCGGTCCAGAGAGGAGGCTTTTGATGGGCATATGACAATTGGTAGGGTTTTATATGAACACCAACTCTTCAAGGAGGCTCTTGTTAGCTTCAAGAGGGCTTGTGAGCTGCAACCTACTAACGTGAGGCCGCTTTTTAGAGCTAGGAACTACTTGTATGTTCTTGGAAAATACAAAGAGGCAAAGGAAGAGTTTTTGTTGGTATTGGAGGCGGCAGAGATTCTTTGTCCTACCCATTTTAGAGCTTTGAAATTGCTGGGGAGTGCTTTATTCGGAGTAGGGGAATATAGGGCTATTGTTAAGGCTTTAGAAGAGGGCATACTCATAAAACCAGATTATGCTGATGTTCACTGTGATTATAGATGCTTTGTATAATTTGGGTGGACTTTACGTGAACTTGGGATTGTTTCTCGCCACTCTTGCTCCCATTTGCACAGGTCCCCTTGAAAAGAGAAAGCGGGTGGTATGTGATACCTTTGTATGGCAACCTGTGAACGAGTGTGGCACTTAGATCAGAAAATTTGATGCAGTCAGGTATATCAAATTGTTGAGGGCCATATATGTCCCTAGTCAAGGATCCAATGAGACAATGGAAGTCCATAGGCAGACAGACATACGGTTGCTCCAAGTTGAATTTTTTCATAAAACTGTTGAAGTTATTGAGAAATAAGCTTGCACTAAGGGAGGGTGTCAAAATTAGTGCAACTTATTATTAGATGGAATTAGTCACCTGTTAAGCTATTCATCTTTATTAGCAGTCAACCTTAATAGTTTATTTCAGTAGAGTCTTTGTAGGGGTTATTTATAGGATTTATTTAGAAGCAATCGGCTCAGTAAAGCACAAGCAACAGTACACCAGTTCATTATTTCAGTTGTCTCTGTATAATTCTCTTTGAGTAATAATAATTTCATATTTATTCACACATTTGAGCGTGAGATATTGTGACAGGTTCATATAACATTATACGGGATTTCACTCGTACTCGAATGTAGTCATTCAAAAGTTGGAATGACAATATGTGAGATCCCACATTAGTTGGAGAGGGAAACAAAAGTGTGTAAACCTCTCCCTAATAAACGCGTTTTAAAATTGTGAGACTGACGACGGTATGTAATGAGTCAAAGCAGATAATATATGCTAGCGGTGGACTTAATCTGTTATAAATGGTATCAGAGCCGATACCGAGCGGAGTGCTAGCGAGGACGAAGACGTTAGGCCCACCGACTCTACTCAAGGTCAAGTTATTCGAGTCGACCTTGCGGAATAACTCAATAGAACCAAAAACAAATGAACACAAATATATATTTGACTAACAAATAAAAAACACAAATATTGTTTAAAAAATTAAAAAATCAAAACACTACTTTTAAACTAATAATGTTATGGATTTAATTGTTGGATTTTTTAATTATTTTAAAAAATTATAATTACTCATAATATCTATTATATTAATAATTAAAATATCATAAATTAAAACATTAAATCATTCCTATCTATTATAAAGTTTAATATTTTAAATTTTCTTAAAGAAAAGGTAGGATATTGCTAGGTTGTAACCCTATTTTCGGGTTGGCTGAACGGATAATAAAAAAATAAAAAATAAATAAAAAATCAGCCTGCAAATCGAGCTAAATTTTCAATTTTCTAAAAATACAGAAAAAAAAACTCAATTTAACATTTATAGTTTAGATGGTGTAGTTTGAATTAGTCTGATTAACTATTCATATAATTACTTAAAAAAAATATTTCAAAGAGTCTTTTTAGGGTATAATTTGTATTTTTTTTTATATAATTTACTTAAAACACATCCAATAATATTTGATAAATAAAAATATAATATAATGTTTCGTTAACCAGAGACAAAGATTATAATTCAAATCAAGAGAAATTTCTACCAATTCCATAATTTTAATGAAATTAGTCGTGAGTAATTAATCACGTGGGTCTTTTGAATTTTAGGGAGCAGGTGACGGTGTACGTAGGACCACATTGAAATTATGTACATAATAATTTCAAAAAATTTATTATTTTCTACCAATCTTAATATCAATAATTGACATTAATTGAGATATGCTAT